ATGGGGGAGTTTAATTGATTACTAATTGAGTAATGTTCACTGTTAACTGATTACTGATTGAGTAATGTTCATTGTTAACTGATTACTGATTAAGTAATATGTTCACTATTATGGAGGAGACATGTTTGAATTTAATTTGTTTTAAGTTTAGAACTTGTTTTAATGCCTGATGGAAGGTCTTTGCTGGTGGTAAGAATTCATATGTGTGATGTGAACGATTAAGAACTTGGTTTCCGCTGCCGCTTATGTTACGTTCTTAACACGGTTCTGATTTGAACAAGCTTTTATCTTTGTCTAGATTGCTTGTTCTGTTTGTTGGTTGGTTTGTTGAGTATCTTTTCAGGTTTAACCAAAAAGATGCTTCATTATCAAACTAAGCTAAAATGGAAAGATTTAAGATGCATGCTCTGGCAACATCAAATTGATGGAATACAGCAAGCTGATGTCAACATGAGTCTGCATCTGTTATCTACATCAAGCGTCTGATGAGTGCGAGAAAACTAAAATCTGACGTGGCAATTTTGAGAAGTTGATGTGTCATGGCAAATAAACGAGGAGCTAACGTTTCATGGAAATATGGTCAAATTTGGTTTGAGATTCAATACATATTATTCTCTAGATTTAGTTATAGAAATGATAAACTTAAGGAGCAAGTTTATCCCTTTCGTGGATATTCTCGAAGATCCTCTTATGGTTTTCATGGTTGATATAAATAGTTGAAGGAGGTCAAATGCCGCCGTTAACACTTCGACTATTTGTGTGGTTTGTTCTTCGTAGCTTCAAGACAAACAACGAGCTAGGCAGGTTGGTAACTGTGGTAAGTGTTCTACAAGTATTCTAGGTATCACGGTAGAGCCTTATAATTGATTCACGTGTGGGTGTTTCTTTTCAATAGAACTTGTATTCAATTTGATTTGTCTTCACGGATGCATGATAAGAAAACAAAAAAAGAATTAGGCTTAAGATGATGTTTTGTCGTGGTCGATTCTAGGAGAGGCTAGAACGAGTAATTCCGAATAAGTGTAATTCTTTAAATGTTGTGAAGATAAAATTATAGTAAAACCAAGTATAAAAGAGTTGGTTTCGAACAATGTGTTGTTGTGTTTTTTAATATTTACAAACATAACATTTATTCTCAGTTTCTGAACTGTGAGAGCAATTGATTTTGAAATAGATGCAATTTATCAAATTTAAAAACGGTATGTGATTGAGAAGGGATGATATTATCTTATATGTTTTCAATGAAAAGCGTTTTAAAATATATTTGAAAAACAAAATTATTTACAGAAGACTTTAATCTTATTTAAATTTTATTTTATGTTATATATTTTGCCGTCAAAGAAAAATACATATTCCATAATAGTGACATGTTAATTATAATATTACCTAAATTCCATATTCAAGAGTAACTCGATTTTTCATACTACATAAATTCATAAATACTTAACAAAAAACTATGTAAGAAAATTCAATGAATTTAACGAGTTTTGAAACCCACAATGATATATAAAATAATCAATAAATTTCAAAGTAGCTAAGCATACTTAACATGATATATAAAAATTTCAAAGTAGCTAAGCATATTTCAATAGATATGTGTGTGTGTATAGTTATAAAATGTTGTATAATTTATATTATATTAATTCCCTAGTATATGTATAAGTAAAATATACAGTATTGTCTTCTAATTTGAAATATTAATAAAATATATATGGATATCAAATGAATTCATATTGTATTATAATATAATATTTGTAATATATTATAAAACAAAAGTAGGCTGTTGACTTAATTCTTATGGCTTAGTTCATAAGATGCAAAAAAATGCCCATTTACATACACATTGGTTACTTAGAAAAAGAGAACCTAATAATTAATTTTTGTTCCAAGATAATACGCGTACCAACGGTGTATTATACTTTCTTGCAAAGTATATCCCATCGATTCTGGCAGCCCAGACGCGTAACTGACCACATCGAGGAATAAGTCTTGGTCCTGCTTTGTATGCTTCAATGTCAAATGAATATTCCATGGCAGGTCCTTGCCTAAAAATACATTCCCATTTTGTTAAATTGGGTATTTCGTCATGAAATTTAATGGTAAATGGAGTGGCATTGAAGTTTAATCTTCTCACGCCTAGATCGTCATCTTTGGAACGACAATGATATTCGAGAATGCGACCAGGTTCGAGCTGGTTAAGAATCTCTACACGATTTTTTTGGCATGCTTGATTTACCCCGAAACATGTAATAGTAACTAACATTAAAAGTATGGAATGATTCATTTTTGAATCTAAAACCTTTATTGAAGTATAACGACATCAACATGTAGTATTTATAATTATATTGTGTGGAAGACGTTTTGTTTCCTTTAATTACTAGATAAGCGTTTTATGGTTTTAGCTAAATTTAAACATAAATGTGAACCAATAAAACTTTTTGATGGTTTTAGCTAAATTTGAACATAAACATGAACCAATTCTGTTTTATTAATAGTTTTAGCTAAATCTTTTTTTTTTTTTTATAAAAAATTTGTTTAGCTAAATCTCATATGGTAAAGTAGGATTTTTCTAAAACACAAGTTTTGAGAAACTACCATGTGCCTCTCCTATAGACATGTTTCTTTTTCTCAAAACCAAATACACTATAATATATATATTCATTATATCTTTATACTAAAAACATCCGTGAAATACACATTTCCCTACATTTATTATTTTGTTTTTAATCATCTAAAAAGATCAATGCTAAAATAATTTCAAGATATAAAAATATGCCATTTATGCATAAACTGATAAACACAAAGACATAACCATTTTTCTTACATTTGTATATGTTATACAACTTACAAGATCTGACAAAAACAAATAACTCATATAAAGAGGATTCAATGAAATTATTCTTTTGTTATTGTTCTATTCTTTCTTTATGCAATCAACACTTTTTTGTATAATTAAATTAAACACTAATCACCCATTAAATACAATTTGTAAACGCTGAAAGTCTGAAACTTAATTCTCTTTAAAACTAACAAACTCATAGTAAAACGTAGCATGCATGTATATCAAATAAATGCGGTTTTAAATTCCAAATAGGTCTTTCTAGAGTGTCCATGCATTAATGACGTCCATTAGCGGTTATGATCACATAGTTTACGAATTCTCTATAGCTACAAATAGGCCTGGGCAAATAAATCGAACCGAATGTATCGAATCGAAACAGAAGAAAAAATAACATAAGCAAATCGAACCGAAAATTTGAAAATAACCGAATGGATACTAAATTCTAAAACCAAAATAACTATAACCGAATTGGTACCGAACCGAAATATTTCGGGTAACCGAAAACACCCGAATTATAATTATATTTTCAAAAATATTAGTTATTTATAGAACAAATAATCAAAAACACTTGAAAAATATATAAAAATAGTAAAAATACTCGAAAATAACCGAAAAATATACAAAAATATACAAAAATACCCAAAAATAACCAAAATATCCGAAAATATCCAAAGCAAAATAACCGAATGGATACTGAATTTTAAAACCGAAAGAACCGAAACCGAACCGAAATTTCAAATTACCTAGATGGATACTAAATTTTAAAACCGAAAGAACCGAAACCGAATAAAACCGAACCGATAACCGATCGGATAACCGAACGCCCAGGACTAGCTACAAACCTAAACGTAAGAGAATTATTATAAACATTTCTTTATGAAGAAATTTGGGTATGTTAGATATTAGGGTAGTTTTAAGATATTATTTAAAATATAGAATGGTTGCAAGTTTATATGAGTGTTGGGTAGTTTTAGAAAATATAAGAAAGTGCTAAAACCCACTGTAAATCTCTTTCTCTTAACTCTTTCCAAAGAAGAAAATGCATTGAATGAGAACCGCGGGTTTTCTGTGACTTTCTCTTTCGCTGCAATTAAGTAGAACTCCTTAGGGAATTCAACAGATCATTTTAAGTGAAAATTTAAGTGAAAATTTGTGAAGGAGATTTAGCAAGAAAATTTTGTGAAGGAAATTGAAAAGATGAATTGCTCAAGAGTGTAGCTACTTTAAGTGAAAATTTTATAAGTAAAAGCGTTTTGTGCACTACCATATCAAGCCCCAGTTTTACCGAGCAAACAGGACATACCTGCAAAATCTAACGTACATAACAACAAGACATAATGATATTGATGTTTCCCCATGATCAGCGTGTAAAGTAATGTTCTTTGACTCTAAAAATGTCCATCATCTATGTCTCAGCACAAGCCAATGATATCATATGACTCTGCACAAAATGGGCAAGCAAACTTCTCTAGGAAATCATCGTCTCCATCTATTTCTTCAAAGCTCATTAAGATCTCTGTATTATAAGGTGATATGATCAATTATGAGCATAATACAGGAAAAGGTCAAGCATTTCATTTAGATCAAAACTCAAATTCTCAAACAAAGCTTTTCAAGAAATAGTGCAACTTTACTTTAACATCCTGAGAAAAGAAGATTGTATTTTTGTGTATTTTCCCACACCTTCTCAGCATCAAAGTAAGCTCACATGTAAACTGAAGTACTCAACTATAAAGAAACAAGCTAAAACCAATAAGTGAAGTAAAACCCACCAAGGAAAACCAAAACACCAGTTCGGGCTCTAAGCATAGACAGGAACCTGTTGGAATCAGCGTCCATCTCTTGCTTTAAAATTGTCAAATCTGCAAACGATCACGATCCGAAACTGACGGAGACTGACGGAGAGAGGAAGAAGAAAGAAGAAAGATGTGCGATCCTAACTCACTGATGGGCCGGTTTGGACCTGAACAACGATAGCTATTATTCCACAATTTTTAAGTTTTTTTTTAGCTAAACATGAAACTTGATTTCGTAACAACCTGTATATCTAATCCGATAAAATCGAATCCATATTATCTTAATTTTGATAAATTTTTAAAAAATCATTATATTCCACCGTCTTTACACCATTATAAATAGTCAAGAGACATTAACTAAGTTGAATCTCACGAATTACGTATTATAATTTTGTTAACGCTTCAAAGTTTACTTGATGTCGATACCTAGAAGAAACAAGCGCAAGGAAACATGTTCGCCGGAACCGCAAACGCAACCACCATCGGAGAATCCTTCTTCTTCTTCTTTGGCAGCTGATAACATGCCTCCTCCATCGACGCTAGCTTACCTTTTACCGCCAGGTTATCAATTTGTACCAAGCGATGAACAACTCATCTTTTGTTACTTGAAACCCTACTTGGACGGCTACAAAAATGTATTGCTCAATGTTCCTATTCATCTCGTGAATATCTATGAGTCGAATCCAGAACAACTTTCAGGTTTGTCTCCGTCCATATATATTTGTTCCTTGGTTCTTTAAATTTGTTTATAATAGGATTAATTTGAAAAAGTACCTTGTATCTTAATAGAAATTTGAAAACTACACCATAATTGTAAAATATTTGAAATATACCTTACTTTTTTATAAAATAACATTTATGCCCTTAATCACTAATTAAAAAATCAGAAAATAAAATTAAAATAAATTGATTAATTAGTTATAAACTATATTATTTTAAAATTAAAATTTTTTTTTTTTTAAAACGCAGATACTCTTTTAGATTTTTTTTTAGTTAAGATTTTGATAATGATTAGTATTTTATTATTTTTAAAAAAAATTAAGGAATTAATTCTATATTTAAAATTATATAGTTACGAAAAACCAAATAGAAATAAATTTATAAATTTTAACTATATGATAAAATATTATCTAGATTTTTGTTTATTTAAATACAGAATATATCTTTCATACTAATTACAAATATAATTATATAACTTAAATTAAATTGTTTTGAATTAAATTATTATTTTAAAATTATAGCCAAAACAAATTATCTAAATTTTTTTAAAAAATCAGTAGTTCAAAAATTCCACATTGTAAAATATCAATGAACCAAAGTATAAGTCGACTGATTTAACATAAGTCCATAGAGAATAAAACTAAGTCGATTAAAATAAAATATTAGTTGACAGTTCAAAAAATCTACTTTATTAATAAATCAACTTAAAATATAATAAATTTCCCAAGAATATATTGTCAACGAAAAAAAACTATAAAATCAACAATAATAAAAAGAAAGTCAACAATTTAAAAAGTCGTCTATGTAAAAAACCAATCAACAACATTATAAATCGACTGTTTTAAAAGAAGTCGATAGATGATAAATTTAGTCGACGAAAATGAAGTCGTCAGTTAAAAAAATCAACCTTATTAATACGTCAACGTAAGATGAAGTAAGTCTAGAATGAATAAATAAGTCGACAGAAAAAAATTATAAATCGATAAACAAAAATATTAAGTCAATAGTTCAAAAAATCGACTATGTTATAAATCAACGAGCCATAACATATGTCGAATGTTTCAAAAAAAAATTGAAGGTGCTAAAAATTAAGTCAACAGATGTAAAATATAAGTCGTTAGTTAAGAAAATCGACTTTATTAATTTTAGTATTTAAAATTAATATTTAAAATAAACTTAAATTATTACAAAGAGTATTATGGTCAATTTTCAATAAAAAGAGTAGTTTTCAAATTACTATAAAATTAGGTGTAATTTTCAAATTTCTTATTATATTTAGTATATTATAAGTGATTTATATATCTATATCTATATGTTTGTTTTTGAAATAGTGGGATTCGAGAAGGGTAATGAGAAAGAATGGTTCATTATATCAGAGAGGACCAAAGTTGATCAAGGTTTAAGCAAGAAAAAGAGAGTTGGTAATGGTGCGACAAAGCAGAAACGTGGCGACACTAAAGGAGGATATTGGCACGCAACAGGGGCTGCCCAGGAGATCAACACTGGAGAATGTGTCGTTGGCTACAAAACGGCACTTGCATACTTTGTTAGGACACGGTCTGGCAGCGTCAAAACGGATTGGTTAATGATTGAATACTCGTTGCATCACACTTGTCACAACAACGACAAGGTAAGTATGTGTTTCTTGGTTCCCAAGTTATTAAGAATTTGAGTTTTGGATTCTGTTTTGAGTGTTTTTGTTGGTGCGTCTAGGATTATACTTTGTGCAAGATCTATATGACTCCACAAGCTATAAAGAAGACGAAAGAAGTGGAAGAAGAGAATAAGAAGCAGAAGAAAGGAGAAGGCGTTACATGTGGAAGCATTAATGAAAGTAAAACTGCAATTGCACATGTGGAAGCATTGGAACAGCAGCAGCCTCGTAATGTCGAGTATCATCAACCGCATCAATTGCAAGGCCCGCTAGATTCTTATCAACCGCAGCCAGCTCATGATGTTGTGTATCAACAACCGCAACAGTTTTCGCAAGCCCCCATAGATTCTTATCAACAGCAGCCATCTCATGATGTTGTGTATCAACAACCGCATACTCCGCTGCTTTTGCCAGATCTTGTCTCTTTTGAAAGATCAGGGATGGCAATGACGGGCTGGAGCAACGACAAGACAGGGATGGCAATGACGGGCTGGAGCAACGACAAGAGCACCCAAGAAGACTTGTTGGATATGTCTAAAGATGACAGGTTCTTTAGCATGGATGAATTATTCAATAATGTGGAAGAACATGGTACTGTCGTCACTCAACAGCAACAACAACAACAGCAGCAGCTAAGTACACCGATTCTTGCTTCTGGGCAAGGTCAGGATTCAGGATCCGGGATGGTGACGAGCAACGACAACAACTTTCAAGAAGACTACTGGTTGGATATATGTAATGGCGTGTACATTGACATCGATGCATTATTGAATGATGTAAAGACAGGCCATGCCATCTCTCTATTAGAGAGAAGGAATTGTTAGAGAGAAGGAAGAGCAGATCACAACAAACTATTTACAAATACATACGTAGAAGCAAGAGTGCATCATTCGCCGTCATGGTGTTCTCCTTCTCTGTCATTGACTTAATCCACCGGTGAAAGAGTTCTGTTGTTTTTTTTCTTTCTTTTTTTCTTTTGGTGATTTCCTTTTCTACAAATCTTTGATTCGGCCTTCCAAACTATTAACCATCTCTATGTACCTTGAGTTCTATATAACGCTTGGATCCAGAGTAAGTCAAAAAGAATTTAAGCCAAAACTAATCTAAAGAATGTCTAGTGATTTTGAACTGACATGTCACAACTATACAATTTGGTTCCTATGCAAAAATTTTGGAGCAGAGCTTGATTTTGAGGACTCTTATTTAACCAAAGCAGTCTCTCACAACTTAGACAAGGCAACCAAGCATATCAATTGCACTTAAATCAGTCAATATATTTGTATAGTAGTATTAAAATTATTTTTTGTGACTTTGGTTTAGACAACTACGATTCAGGATCTGCATGTATGTATCTATATATGTATATCATGCTTCATAAAGTATATTCATAACCATTAATTGTGTCAAATATTTGTATAAGAATCATTCGTTGTGACTTTAGTTTATACTACTATTCAGGATTTGTATGTATATATGACTCTATGTATATCATGCTTCATAAAATATATATTCATGACCATTAATAATGTATTTATTTTGTTACTAAAATTTAATAATTCATGAACTTAAATTAATACATCTATAAACATAAATATGAGTTAAACTTTAAAAGAAGTGAAAAGAAAATAATGAATAAAATAAATAAATTGAATTTTTCTCTCGTGCCAATTCTCTCGTGCCAATTCACCACGGGTTCGAGTAAAACTCTTTCGGGTTCGGTTAAATGGGTAATGAATTTACAATCCATTCGGGTCTTTCTAAACATTCGGTTCCGGTCCGGTTTGGGTCCGGTTCGGGTATCGTCGGGTCCGGATCGGTTTGGGTAAAAAAAATTAGACCCTACAAATACCCGAAAAATATGGGTACCCGTTCGTTTCGGGTATTTTATATGTAAAATTTCGGGTTTTGTTTGTAAAATATCGGATACCCGAAAAAACCCTTAAAAATTTGTTAAATTTTAAAAATTTTAGTTATACTTGAATACATTTTGCTAAATTTTGACCAACATAACAAATAATTTTTGGATAGTTTAGGTAATTTAAGTCTAAAGTTAATTGACATATTTAGATTTATAATTGTAATTTTTAGATAATAAAATAATATATAATTAATATTTTGGATATTTAATTATATGTTCGGGTATTTGGGTACCCTGTTTGGGTAACGGATAATATCCGGACCGACCCGATACCCACGGGTTACAAAAACTGTACCCAATGAGATAATTTCCTTCTTATCCGTACCCGTTCATAACTGGTTTTTCGGTCCGGATATCGGTCCGGTTTTTTTGCCCAGGCCTAGCCACCGCCGCTACAAAAGCCGGTGTCGCTTCCGCTATCTTCTTCTTTTTTCTAAAAGTTCTAAGGGTCATTTAGCTCAATAACCAATTTGGATAAAAGAATTTAGATAATTTATATAAGTTTACAGTTCCACAGTTTAGCTATGTATCCACAATTTTAAAGTTTTTTTTTAGCTAAACATGAAACTTGTCTCTTCCCAATAAATCTCGAATTCAATTCGAAACAAATCTAAATCTAATCCGATACATTCTTATCAATATTATTTTAATTTTGATAAATCCTAAAAATCAATATATCCACCGTACACAGCATTATAAATAATCAAGTCCTTCTAGAGTGCCCATGCATTAATGACGTCCACTAGCGGTTATGATCACATAGTTTACGAATTCTCTATAGCTACAAACCTAAACGTAAGAGAATTATTATAAACATTTTTTTTATAAAGAAATTAGGGTATGTTAGATATTAGGGTAGCTTTAAGATATTAATTAAAAAATAGAATGGTTGCAAGTTTATATGAGTGTTGGGTAGTTTTAGAAAATATAAGAAAGTGCTAACACCCATTGTAAATCTCCTTCTCTTAACTCTTTCCGAAGAAGAAAATGTATTGAATGAGAAGTTGAGAACCGCTGTTTTTCTGTGACTTTCTCTTTCGCTGCAAGTAGAACTCCTTAGGGAATTCAACAGATCATGAGATTTAGCATGAAAATTTTGTGAAGGAAATTGAAAAGATGAATTGCTCAAGAGTGTAGCTACTTTAAATGAAAATTTTATAAGTATAAGCGTTTTATGCACTACAATATCAAGCCCCAGTTTTACCGAGCAAACAGGACATACCTGCAAAATCTAACGTACATAACAACAAGACATAATGATGTTCATGATTCCCCATGATGATGTGGTAACTTTCGAATGCTTATCAGCGTGTAAAGTAATGTTCTTTGACTCTAAAAAATGTCCATCATCTATGTCTCATCATCATCTATAAAAAGTGAATATTGTTAAGATTATTGTCGTCACAAGCCAATGACATCATATGACTCTGCACAAAATGGGCAAGCAAACTTCTCTAGGAAATTATCGTCTCCATCTATTTCTTCAAAGCTCATTAAGATCTCTGTATTATAAGGTGATATGATCAATTATGAGCATAATATAGGAAAAGGTCAAGCATTTCATTTAGGATCAAAACTCAAATTCTCAAACAATGCATTTCAACAAATAGTGCAACTTTACTTTAACATCCTGAGAAAAGAAGATTGTATTTTTGTGTATTTTCCCACACAATCTCAGCATCAAAGTAAGCTCAAATCTAAATTGAAGTACTCAACTATAAAGAAACAAGCTAAAACCAATAAGTGAAGCAAAACCCACCAAGGAAAACCAAAACACCAGGACAAATTTTGATAAATAAGCTTACCAGCTCGAGATCTAGGCGTAGACAGGAACCGGTTGGAATCAGCTCTAAAATTGTCAAATCTGCAAATGATCACAATCCGAAAGGTTACAAATTTGAGCACAACGTATCGATCCTAATACATACGGAGATTGACGGAGAGAGGACGAAGAAAGAAGAAAGTGTATATCTAAACATTAACCGGTTTGGACCTGAATTACGATAGCTATTATTCCACAATTTTTTAAGTTTTTTTTTATCTAAACGCGAAACTTGATTTCGTAACAACTTGTATATCTAATCCGATAAATTCGAATCCATATTATCTTAATTTTGATAATTTTTTAAAAAATCATTATCCACCGTCTATACACCATTATAAATAATCAAGAGACATGAACTAATATTTTTGTTAACGCTTCAAAGCTTACTTGATGTCGATCCCTAGAAGAAACAAGCGCAAGGAAAGATGTTCGCCGGAACCGCAAACACAACCACCGTCGGAGAATCCTTCTTCTTCTTCTTTGGCAGCTGATAACATGCCTCCTCCATCGATGCTAGCTTCCCTTTTACCGCCAGGTTATCAGTTTGTACCAAGCGATCAACAACTCATCTTTTATTACTTGAAACCCTACTTGGACGGCTACAAGAACGTATTGCTCAATGTTCCTATTCATCTCGTGAATATCTATGAGTCGAATCCAGAACAACTTTCAGGTTTGTCTCCGTCCATATATATTTGTTCCATGGTTCTTTAAGTTTGTTTATAATAGGATTAATTTTAAAGGGTACTTTGTATCATAATAGAAATTTGAAAACTACACAATAATTTTAAAATATTTGAAATATACCTTACTTTTTTCTAAAATAACATTTAGAGAAATTGTTAAAAATGCCCCTTTTTCAATACCCCATTTCAAAAATGCCCCCTTTGAGAGTCCATTTTTAAGTTTGCCCTCTTTTATTTTTTAATGACCATTTTACCCTTATTTGAAACAAAATTAGGTCCACAAAATACAAAATATTTTTTGGCGGGAAAAGTGATCCCGCAATTTTCCCGCCAAAACACTTGTAAAAAACCTTTAAAATACCTTGTAAAATTTTCACGTAAAAATTTTTCCCGTCAAAAAAATTTTTTTTGCGGGAAAAGTGATTCCGCAATTTTTTTGGCGAAATTTTTTTGGCGGGAAAATTTTTGGCGGGAAAAATTTACAAGGTTTTTTAAAGGTTTTACAGAGTATTTACAAGTGTTTTGTAAGGTTTTACAATGTATTTTAAAAGGTTTTACAAGGTACTTATAAGGTTTTATAAGGTATTTATAACTTGTAAAACCTTATAAAAAACTTGTAAAACCTTATAACTTGTAAAACCTTATAAAATTGCTTGTAAAATCTTATAATATCTTATAAATACCTTATAAATACGTTGTAAAACCTTTTAAAATATATTGTAAAACCTTATAAATACCCTGTAAAAAACCTTTAAAATACCTTGTAAATTTTTCCCGCCAAAAATTTTCCCGCCAAAAAAATTGCGGAATCACTTTTCCCGCAAAAAAAAATTTTTGGCGGGAAAATTTTTTGGCGGGAAAAAATTTTACGGGAAAATTTTACAAGGTATTTTAAAGGTTTTTATAAGTTTTTACAAGTGTTTTGGCGGGAAAAATTGCGGGATCACTTTTCGCGCCAAAAAATATTTTGTATTTTGTGGACCTAATTTTGTTATATTTCCTTATATATATTGTGATATATTTTATTAAAAGAAGGGTAATTTAGTCATTTTGTACATAAAAAGGGGTATTTTTAAAAATGGACAGCCAAAGGGGGCATTTTTGAAAAGGGGTATTGAAAAAGGGGCATTTTTGTGAGTCTCCCTAACATTTATGCCCTTAATCACTAATTAAAAAATCAGAAAATAAAATTAAAATAAAATGATTAATTAGTTATAAACTGTATTATTTTAAAATTAAAATTATTTTTTTAAAAAAAGCAAATACTCTTTTAGAATTTTTTTTAGTTAAGATTTAGATAATGATTAGTATTTTATTAATTTTTTAAAATTAAGGAATTAATTCTATATTTTAAATTATATAGTTACGAGAAACCAAATAGAAATAAATTTATAAATTTTAACTATATGATAAAATATTATCTAGATTTTTGTTTATTTAAATACAGAATATTTCTTTCATACTACTTACAAATATAGTTATATAACTTAAATTAATTTGTTTTGAATTAAATTATTATTTTAAAATTATAGCAAAAAACAAATTATCTAAATTTTTTTAAAAAATCAGTAGTTCAAAAATTCCACATTGTAAAATATCAATGAACCAAAGTATAAGTCGACTGATTTAACATAAGTCCATAGAGAATAAAATTAAGTCGATTAAAATAAAATATTAGTCGACAGTTCAAAAAATTTACTTTATTAATAAATCAACTTAAAATATAATAAATTTCCCAAGAATATATAAGTCAACGAAAAAAAACTATAAAATCAACAATAATAAAAAGAAAGTCAACAATTTAAAAAGTCGTCTATGTAAAAAACCAATCAACAAAAATATAAATCGACTCTTTTAAAAAAAGTCGATAGAAAATAAATTTAGTCGACAAAAATAAAATATAAGTCGTCAGTTAAAAAAATCGACCTTTTTAATACGTCAACTTAAAATGAAGTAAGTCTAGAATGAATAAACAAGTCGACATAAAAAATTATAAATCGATAAACAAAAATATTAAGTCAATAGTTCAAAAAATCGATTATGTTATAAATCAACGAGCCATAACATATGTCGACTGTTTCAAAAAAAATTGAAGGTGCTAAAAATTAAGTCAACAGAAGTAAAATATAAGTCGTTAGTTAAGAAAATCGACTTTATTAATAAATCAACATAAATATATATACATATATATATATATATATATATTATTTTATTTATTATAAATTATATAATTTTAAATTACTTATTTTTAATAAATTATGAAGATAAATAATATTATCAGCAATAATGTTTTGTATTTTTTTATTCAAAATTTTAGTAAATAACCATAGTAAATAATTTTTTAATAATTGTTTTCATAATTTTTTATTATTAAATAATTAATTACGTTTCTAGTTAAATTTTTGAAATATAATTGTTAAAAATTTGTTTTAGATTTAATTTTTAGTATTTAAAGTTAATATTTAAAATAAATTTAAATTATTACAAAGGGTATTATGGTCAATTTTTAATAAAAAGACTAGTTTTCAAATTACTATAAAATTAGGTGTAATTTTCAAATTTCTTATTATATTTAGTATATTATAAGTGATTTATATATCTATATCTATATGTTTGTTTTTGAAATAGTGGGATTCGAGAAGGGTAATGAGAAAGAATGGTTTATTATATCGGAGAGGAACAAAGTTGATCAAGGTTTAAGCAAGAAAAAGAGAGTTGGTAATGGTGCGACAAAGCAGAAACGTGGCGACACTAAAGGAGGATATTGGCACGCAACAGGGGCTGCCCAAGAGATCAACACTGGAGAAGGTGTCGTTGGCTACAAAACGGCACTTGCATACTTTGTTAGGACACGGTCAGGCAGCATCAAAACGGATTGGTTAATGATTGAATATTCGTTGCATCACACTTGTCACAACAACGACAAGGTAAGTATGTGTTTCTTGGTTCCCAAGTTATTAAGAATTTGAGTTTTGGATTCTGTTTTGAGTCTGTTTTTGTTGGTGCGTTTAGGATTATACTTTGTGCAAGATCTATATGACTCCACAAGCTATAAAGAAGACGAAAGAAGTTGAAGAAGAGAATAAGAAGCAGAAGAAAGGAGAAGACGTTACATGTGGAAGCATTAATGGAAGTAAAACTGCAATTGCACATGTGGAAGCATTGGAACAGCAGCAGCCTCGTAATGTCGAGTATCATCAACCGCATCAATTGCAAGGCCCGCTAGATTCTTATCAACCGCAGCCAGCTCATGATGTTGTGTATCAACAAACGCAACAGTTTTCGCAAGCCCCCATAGATTCTTATCAACAGCAGCCATCTCATGATATTGTGTATCAACAACCGCATACTCCGCTGCTTTTGCCAGATCTTGTCTCTTTTGAAAGATCAGGGATGGCAATGACGGGCTGGAGCAACGACAAGACAGGGATGGCAATGACGGGCTGGAGCAACGACAAGAGCACCCAAGAAGACTTGTTGGATATGTCTAAAGATGACAGGTTCTTTAGCATGGATGAATTATTCAATAATGTGGAAGAACATGGTACTGTCGTCACTCAACAGCAACAACAACAACAGCAGCAGCTAAGTACACCGATTCTTGCTTCTGGGCAAGGTCAGGATTCAGGATCCGGGATGGTGACGAGCAACGACAACAACTTTCAAGAAGACTACTGGTTGGATATATGTAATGGCGTGTACATTGACATCGATGCATTATTGAATGATGTAAAGACAGGCCATGCCATCTCTCTATTAGAGAGAAGGAATTGTTAGAGAGAAGGAAGAGCAGATCACAACAAACTATTTACAAAAACATACGTAGAAGCAAGAGTGCATCATTCGCCGTCATGGTGTTCTCCTTCTCTGTCATTGACTTAATCCACCGGTGAAAGAGTTCTGTTGTTTTTTTTCTTTCTTTTTTTCTTTTGGTGATTTCCTTTTTTACAAATCTTTGATTCGGCCTTCCAAACTATTAACCATCTCTATGTGCCTTGAGTTTTATATAACCCTTGTCTTTTCTCGCAGTCATTAAAGAGGTTCAGACACTGGTCTTGGATCCAAAGTAAGTCAAAAAGAATTTAAGCCAAAACTAATCTAAAGAATGTCTAGTGATTTTGAACTGACATGTCACAACTATACAATTTGGTTCCTATGCAAAAATTTTGGAGCAGAGCTTGATTTTGAGGACTCTTATTTAACCAAAGCAGTCTGTCACAACTTAGACAAGGCAACCAAGCAAATCAAGTGCATTTAAATCCGTCAATATTTGTATAGTAGAAGTATAAAAATCATTCTTGTGACTTTGGTTTAAACTACTACTATTCAGGATCTGCATGTATGTATCTATATATGTATATCATGCTTCATAAAGTATATTCATAATCATTAATTATGTCAAATATTTGTATAAAAATCATTCTTTGTGACTTTAGTTTAGACTACTACTAGGACTTTTGTTTAGCTCTTGTATGATTTGGTTATGTTTTATAAAATCCTACCATGGGGAAAAAAAAACCGACGACACACATGACACACCCGTTGTCTATGCGGAGCATGTAAGAACTTTCATCCTCTCGTGGCAGCGGAACCCAAAATTGACAATTAATTCTTCTAGTTGTAACATGAATTCCAAAAGTAATAAACTAATGAACCCGTCACGATTACGGTCCAAAAAAGGCGCAAGGAATTCAAAAGACACGTTTGGTATGAAAATTAAATATTCTTTTATTTACGTGCAAGAGTCGCTTTTTCTACTTTTCTCTTCATACTATTACTTTATTAAACAACACCTAACAGCTTATATATACAAATTAACTAAAACAAAACGTGAAGATACTCTTCTCCATCAAAACTTGCTTCTCTTTATTAACTTTAAGAAACCCCAATCTTGAAGCCGAATCAAGAACGTAACTAAACATGTCCGATCATCAGAAAATCCATCCGGTAAGAGACCCGGAAGCGCCACCACATCCAACGGCTCCCCTTGTTCCACGTGGCTCCTCGAGATCGGAAAACGGTGATCCTACCAAAACGCAGCAAGCAGCACCGTTGGATCCTCCGAGGAAGAAGAAAGGATCAAGAAGTTGTTGGTGCAGATGCGTGTGCTACACGCTTCTTGTCCTCTTTCTCCTTATTGCTATCGTTGGAGCGATCGTTGGTATACTTTACCTTGTCTTTAGACCGAAATTACCGGATTACAATATAGACCGGTTACAGCTCACCCGGTTTCAACTAAACCAAGACTTGAGTTTATCTACCGCGTTTAACGTTACCATCACCGCGAAAAATCCCAACGAGAAAATCGGAATTTACTATGAAGATGGAAGCAGAATTAGTGTCTTGTACATGCAAACCAGACTCAGTAATGGTACGTTGAAATCTGTTCGGTATTTTAGTTTGGTCGGTTTAAATTGGTTCAAATAGTTAACCGGATTTCGTAATTTTCTACAGGGTCATTGCCGAAATTCTACCAAGGACATGAGAATACGACTATTATATCCGTAGAAATGACTGGTTTTAATCAGAATGCAACAAGTATAATGACGACATTGCAAGAGCAACAACGGTTAACAGGAAGCATACCGTTGCGGATTAGAGTTACCCAACCGGTTCGGATCAAACTCGGGAAATTAAAGTTGATGGAAGTAAGATTTTTGGTTAGGTGTGGTGTATCCGTTGATAGCTTAGCTGCTAATAGTGTGATTAGGGTTAGAAGTAGTAACTGCAAATACAGGTTTAGACTATAATTTCATTTCTTATTCATAATTATTTTAATATTTGTCACATTTTTTATTATTACAATATGGAGGGGTTGAGTGTTGTAGTTCCCCCCATCCACGGTCGTCTCCTTTATTTTTTAAGAAAAAGCAATTTTGTTTCACACTTGTAAATAATTAATAAAAGAAACCTTCTATTTGCAATTGTTAATATATAATTTGTTTGTTTCTGTTTACTAATAAGTTTTGGATCTTGACCCGTAGTCTTTTCGAATGTTGATTTAAATGAAGAAAGAAATCGACTAATAGAAAGAGAAATGAAAAACTAAAAAACTATTAGAAAAGGAAGAAATAAGTAAACAAATGCTATTTTAAAAGAAATTTCCTATCATGTGCGCTTAATCCATCCTAGGTTGCATAATGAAGTTTTGTCGAAAGATGGAGTTTGGTCAATTTGTATGTTTTTTTTTGTTAAACCACGGAAGTTCCGGACCGTTGGTCCATAAGCTCTCTCAATATCTACGGTCAGCATTTAGTCCATTCCTATTTAAAAAATGCTTCTCTGTTTCAAAGAAGATTATGTATGTTTTTGCCTGTGTGTTATGGATATAGTGGTGTATAGAGTATTTACTTCGTTGGCTTGACGGAGTTCAGAGATGTTTGCTGATGCTTGAAGGCGCTCGATAATGCTTGGCTATATTCATTAATCTATGGTGATAAAAATCGAGCGTCACATATTTGAGAACTAGAGAGAAACCCACGCGATGCGTGGGATACTGATTAAATAATACAATAATAGGTTTTGATGTTCTTCCAAATAATTATACATGAATTTGTTTAATACTTTAGTTATTCCTTTTGTTATCAGTTTAAGAATTTTGTTATAAAGAAAGGTAAAGTATGTATAGAGTGGCTAAGAATAGAAAGTATTGGCATATACATTATGAAATTTATTTCGAATGTAAAATAAGTATGTAATAAACTTTTTCTGAAGGAAAAAGGTCAACAAAGAAGAAAAAGTAGACGTTTTTTGGAAAAGAAAAAATACCCATCTTCCAACGAAAAAATCAGTGATCATAATCTCAAATAATAGATTTTATCCTTCAACTCTAATACTCTATCATCATCTCCTCCTTTTTTTCTATAACAAAAGTGTAGATAAGGTTTGGCCATTAATTCTAATTTAAAAATGAGCTCGTCATGAAGTTTTTAACTTCTTTTTCACGATATGTTGTCCTTTTTCTTTGTCTTTAAATGCTCAAAAAAATCCTATATTTTGTCTTTGTTTTTTTTTTTTCATCATTCAAAGTTATAAGAAAAATTAAAATAGTTTAGAAATAGATAAGATGCTATATTATTTATTTTATATTATCCTTTCACTTTATAATTGCAAGACCTTATTATTATATTTTACTTTTGAAAATGCACTTTTTGGTGTGCCATTTTTAAAAAATGTCCCATTCTTTTATGTATTTTCAAATATACGTCTCATTAAACCTGAAAAGGTTTATGAGGTACTTCTGGATGGTAAGTATTACTCAAGCCTCGATCTAAGTATTTATAAGGTTTCATAACGTATTTATATAACATATTTATAAGATTTTATAAGATATGTATAGGATTTTATAAGGTATGTATAAGTTTTAATCATGTATTTATACATATACATGTAGTTTTGTATGCTTTTATAATGTTACATACGTACTTAGGTAAATCTTAGATTTTTAAAGAAATTTTAGAAAACTTTTACCTAGGTTGTATTTTTGAAAAGAGGTATTGGAAAAAAGCATTTCTAACAATTCCTCAATTTATAATGTCATTTTAATAATTTTATTACATTTTGCTTCTCGAATAGTATTCATTTATGTAATGATTTATAGTTAAATTAAATATGAAATAATATTTTAAAATAAACTACTATAAGATAATTTGTTGTTAATTATTTAATATAAATTTGTGGGAAATAAGGTAAAATGTAGAAAAAGACAACATTAAAAGAATACTTGATTTAGTGATATATGCGTTATAGAACATGTTGAGAATGAATTTTAAGTTTTTAAGTAAAATCTATTTAAGAAAATAGAATGGCAATGATCTTATAAAAATGTATACGTACATCTTTCATTGTTCCATTTCAATTTGAATCTATATATACATTTTCGAAGTACAAATATGAAATAAATCTTTGAGTTGGCACTTATTTACAAGAGAATGTCATTGTTATAAATGTTTATCTATTAATTAATATTACAAATTATTTTCGAAACAATTTTTTAGAAATTGTGGCTTCTAAATATGGTAACAAATTGATTTTGTTTCTAAATTTGATTAATTGCTAATTTCCTAAAACTTCTCTACCTAATTTAAACATTAATATATGATTCTTCTTTCACTTTTATATGATCTTATATTTAATTTATTTCAAATTTATGTAAAATACATATAATTAATAAAATAATATATTTTTTGCATATAATAAGATTCAAAATTTAAAAAACGGACATATATTACTCAATCGATGAAGAAAAAATATGTATTCAATGTCCCACATTGCTTAAAAATTTGGGCAATGGTTCAGAGTCATACTATAAAAGGACCAAATGATTCTGAATACAAATGAGAAAGAAGCTTGATTTATCAGACGTCCAAAACTAAAATTGTTATCCGGTTTACTCCGGTTCCTTATTTTATTATAACTTTTAAGAAATTTCAAAATATTATAAATATTTAAATTTTATTAAAACTTAAATATTATGGTCATTTTATTTGAACTTTATAAGAATTTATAAGAAGTTTAAACATTATAAATAATTAAACTTTAAAAAATGTTTAGAGTATTTATAATATTTAAGTTCTATAAAAAGTTTATAATATTTGAACTCTATAACAATTAAATATATATATATATATATATATATATATATATAGATATATTATGTCAACCATTTAAAGCAAAGTTTTAAATTGACTCTAATTATATGTCTTTTAAATAAAACTATTATTAAAAAGAAAATAATAAAATGCTGTTTTATTTTATGGGACGGAGTTATATGATGGGACGAGTTTGGGTCGATATTAATACGGGACGATGTAGCACGGGTGAAATCCTAGAATTAAAAATAAAAATATAATGATATTATCTTAAACACTAAACAAACCAAACAATATTAACAAAACAAATATAACTTAAAATTTAAGTTTTTAGTTTTAAAAAATCAATCCGCAATATACTTCGGGGTAAACATTTTAGATACAAAATAATATCAAATTATTATAATAGTTCATGATTATAAATGGTTACCAATATTAACGCTACATCACTTCTACACCTACAAATCTTCTAAGTACATGAATACAAATTAACACATTTAAGTAAACAAATACAACAACTCACAAACAATAATCATATATTTCAACTATATTAATTATAATATAAATAAGTAAATGAGAAATAATTATTTTATAGTATGAATTTAAAAATCTAATAAATTATAAATTATTATATAAAATACAGAAAATACAATTTTGCTCCACATTGTACCGCGGGTTAAATCCTAATTCATTTGGTATTTGTGATTTTCCCACGATAAAATAGATAAAACGTAAATATCACAGCTTTGAGGAATTTATTTTATATCTTACCAGACCCGGCTCAATAAATTTTAACGAATCAATGTGTCATTTTTTTACTATTCATATTATGACAACATGAACAAAACAAATGCACAAAATAATTATTAGTCATCACTAACACCAATCTACAAAAAGAAATCATGTTTTAGCTAATCAACACGAAACTAAGAAATGCATTGTACCAACTGGATATCATGTTACTTTTTGCTGGATCATATTTTAAAAATATTTAAATGTAAACAATACTTAAATGAGAACATACATATCTAAGAGCATAATTTCTTGACGATCCAACATCAAATTCAGCAGTGTCGTTTATGTTCTACAACACAATTGTTGGCTAGAATGAAGATAAGGCACATACTAAAATGAAGATGAGTGAGAAAAAAGAAAATGTAAATTTCAAATAACTAAATAAAAAAAAAAAAGTTAATTTAGAAACATAATCATTGTTTGAGCTGAAGTAGAGAGCTTCTTGTAGAGCATTGATGAATGTTCCAGCCGTTAAAAGAACAACACACCAATTGTCTCGATTTTATGGAATTGATTAAATAAGAGATTTGTAACATGAAAACGTAATGTGGAAAAGAAACGTAACGTGTAGAAATATAATGCTACGATTTTCATTTATTAGATAGAGTAATGTAAGGTAAAAAGAGACACTTAATTATAATTTCTAGAAATATATGTTTAGAGAAGAGAAAAAACAAATGTTCAGTTGTTTTTTTTGAAATTTATTTTGAGTAAATTTGGATAAATGCCCTATTTTTGACTTTTCTTTGGAAAAATACCCTTTTTTTTGTTCTCTTTTAAAAACTATATTTTAATATATTAAATTACTAAAATGGCTTTAGTGAAATTTAATATTAATTAAAAAGAATTTATACGTAAAACAGAAAATCTATAAATTTAGTTTTGAAATTAATATTTGAAATAACTAACAATTTTAATAATTCTTATCTTAAATATTTCTTTTAAACAATCTAAAATAATTGTGAATTCACCTATCAAGTGAATCATGTTCCTACATTTGATCAAAATTTAATAGTTCATCATTACTTTTAAAATCTCTTGACTAAAATTACTTTTGATTGGATTTCCATTAGTTTTTGGTACTCCATCTCTAATCGATAACACATGTAAATAAAACAAAGAATATTATGTTAGAGCTAGAAGTCGTACATTGATACATGTATATTACATCATTATACCAATGTTAAGTCGTAATCTACGTTAACCTTGAAATTGGAGCAGACTTTGGAGTTGAAAAATTTGATTGTTACGTTGAGATTTTTTTTGTTTATACAATATTAAGGGATAGACTTTATAGACTTTTTAATATTTTTAGATATTATCTTATTAAATTTAATATATAAAATAAACAAACTATCTTTAGCTCAAAAAATAATTATAAGGATAATTAATATTATTTTGAATTTTTCTCTCAGTTTTCGAATTTAGTTATAATTTTACTAAAAATACAGCTTTCAATTTAAATATAGACGGAATTGTCATTTTACATATAAAAA